CTCTGCCCATTTTTTAATTGGACTACTGGTTTTTTGGCGTTAAGTTGTAGGAGTTCTCTATATAATTTGTGTTTTTTTAAGATTTTATTCATTTATTCACGAGAGTCACAGATAGAGAGAGGCAGAGGCAGAGACACAGGCAGAGGGAGAAGCAGGCTCCATGCACCAGGAGCCCGACGTGGGATTCGATCCCGGGACTCCAGGATCACGCCCCGGGCCGAAGGCAGGTGCCAAACCGCTGAGCCACCCAGGGATCCCCGAGTTCTCTATATAATTTGAATGTTACCCAGTCATTGGACATATCATCTGAGAACATCTTCTCCCATTCATTAGGTTGCCTTTTGTTGATGGCTTCCTTTACTGTACAAAATCTTTTAAGTTTGCTGTAGTCCCATTTGCTTATTTTTGCTTTCGTTTCCCTTGTTTGGGGAGACACATCCAGAAAAAAAAAAATTTGCTTCACAGTTGAATTTTACCAAATATTTAAAGAAGAGTTAATACTCATCTTTCTCAAACTCGTCCAAAAAAGATTAAAGAGAAGGGAAAGCTTACAAACGCATTTTACATGGCCAGCATTACCCTCATACCAAAACCAGACAAGGATACAACAACAACAAAAAGAAAATTACAGGCCAATAAACCTGATGAATACACCTGAGAAAATCGTCGACAAAATGTCAGCAAACTGAATCCAACTGTACATTAGAAGGATCATATACCACAGTCAAATGGGATTTATTCCAGGGATGCAAGGATGCAAATCAATCAACATAATGTATCACATCAACAAAATAAAACAAAATAGAAAAAAAAAAACAAAATAATCGTCTCAATAGATGCAGATAAAGCATTTGACAAAGTCAACACCCATTCATGATGAAAACTCCCAGCAAAGTGGAGACACTGAGAATATACCTCAACGTAATAAAGATCACGTATTAGAGTCCTAGAGCTAACATCGTAGTCAACTATGAAAGACCTGTGCGGAGAAAATTATAAGACACCCACGAAAGACACTGAAAAAGATACAAATAAATGGAAAGACACTCTGTGCATGGGGATTAGAAGAATCAGTATCGCTAAAAATGTCCACGTTGCCTAAGTCAGTCTACAGATCCAGCGCAGCATCTACCAAAATTTCATCGGCAGACCTCACAGAATGGGAACAAATTCTAAAATTTGCGTGGAACTACAAGAGATCCTCAAGAGCCAAACCAATCTTGAGAAAGAAGAACAAAGCTAGACCCGCCAGTCTCCCCGATTTCAAGCCACACAAGGCCGTCGGGATCAAAACACTGTGGTAGTGACGTAAAATCAGACACAGATCAGCGGAGCAGAATGGAGAACCCACGCATCCACGGACAATTAATAGATGACAAAGGAGGGATCCCTGGGTGGCGCAGGGGTTTGGCGCCTGCCTTTGGCCCAGGGTGCGATCCTGGAGACCCTGGATCGAATCCCACGTCGGGCTCCCGGTGCATGGAGCCTGCTTCTCCCTCTGCCTGTGTCTCTGCCTCTCTCTCTCTCTGTGACTCTCATAAATAAATAAAAATTAAAAAAAAATAGATGACAAAGGAGCCACGAATATACAACAGAGAAAAGACAGTCTCTTCAATGAGGGTCATTGGAAAGGTGGACAGCCACGGGCGAAAGAGTGAGGCTGGATCACTATTTTATAGCATAGGCAAAAGGTAAAGACTTAAAGAAATTAAGACTTAAAAAACAGATTAAAGGCCTGAACGTAAGATCTGAAACCGTAAAATCCGTAGAGGAAAGCGTAGGAAGTGAGCTCCCTGGCCTAGGCGGCGCGCGTCCTTGTGGCTCTCGCGCCAGAGGCAAGGGAGGCGGATGCGAAGCCAAGCGAGTGGGGCTACAGCGACCTGAGGCCTGGGCGCGGCGCGGGAACCGTGGCACCCAGGCGAGAAGGCGACCTGCCGCCCCCGACGCACCTTCGTGACCCTCGGGTCTGTCAGGGGCTGTGATCCCAAGGACGCAAGACGCTCCTACAACTCGCCCCGCAACGACCATTAAAATCTTGGAAAGGGGGATCCCTGGGGGCTCAGCGGTTGAGCGCCTGCCTTCGGCCCAGGGCGTGACCACAGGGTCCCGGGGTCGAGTCCCGCGACGGGCTCCCCGCATGGCGCTGCTCTCCCTCCGCCTGTGTCTCTGCCTCTCTCTGGGTCTCTCAGGAATAAATAAATAAAATCTTCAAAAAAAAAAAAGAACTTAGAGGAATAAGAAGGTGGAGGTGGTGGGGTGAGGCTTAGGCCGGCCCTTAGGGACCATGGGGCAGTTGGAGCAGCGCCGCGGCTAAGGTGCCCCCGCGCCCCTGAGGTGCCCCAGCCCCCCTGCGGTCCACCTCCCCACCCCTAAGGTGCCCCTGAGCCGCTAAAGTGCCCCAGCACCCCTAAGGTGCAACAGCGCAGCTAAGGTGCCCCTGCGCCCTGAGGTGCCCCTGAGCCCTGAGGTGCCCCGCGCCCTGAGGTGCCCCGTGCCCTGAGGTCCCCCAGCCCCTGAGGTGCCCCGTGCCCTGAGGTCCCCCAGCCCCTGAGGTGCCCCTGCGCCCTGAGGTGCCCCGTGCCCTGAGGTCCCCCAGCCCCTGAGGTGCCCCCTGCGCCCTGAGGTGCCCCCCGAGCCCTGAGGTGCCCCCGCGCCTTAGCTCCCCCCGCGCCCTGAGGCGCCCCGTGCCCTGAGGTCCCCCGCGCCCTGAGGTGCCCCGTGCCCTGAGGTCCCCCAGCCCCTGAGGTGCCCCCTGCGCCCTGAGGTGCCCCCCGAGCCCTGAGGTGCCCCCGCGCCTTAGCTCCCCCCGCGCCCTGAGGCGCCCCAGCCCCCGCCGCCTGTGCAGAGTCCGCCGGCCCCGGAGCTACTCCCGCGTCGCTGCCCAGGTGAGGCCCGTGTCGGGGCCGCGCAGGGAGCCCCCCGCCCCCCCCCCACCTTGGCCTCTCACTCCCGCAGGACCCGCACCGGCGGGCAGAGCCGCGTCCGCGCCGAGGTCGCCCTCGGGCCGGGGTCACCGGGTCGCAGAGTCGGAGGCGCGCCCGGTGCTCTAGGGGCGCTCAGGCCGCGGCTCCCTGACGCGTGGGGCGCGATGTCGCCGGGGACCGCGGCGCCCGCGGCCTCCCCCCGAGGGCGGCCTCCTGCCCACAGCGCGCGAGGACGAGGACGCGGACGAGGACGAGGACGAGGACGAGGACGAGGACGCGGACGAGGACGCGGACGAGGACGAGGACGCGGACGCAGGCTCAAGCGGGCGCTGCACGTGGCCGGGCGGCGAGCACGCGGCCTCCGCGGGCCCTGAGGTCGGACCAGGCCGCCCCCCGCCCCCCCCAACGCGGCCTGTGCCTCAGCGACCCCGCGAGGCCGCGTTCCAGGCCCGGCAGCCGCGGGCAGGCGGGGGGGGGGGGGCGGGGGGAGGCGGGGGCGGGCGCTGGGCCCACACCCCACCCCATACCATTGACTGTGGTATATGATCCTGGCCTCCGCCTCGGAACCCACGATGCGCTCTGCGCGAATTCGCTGGGTTGGTTTTTTTTTTTTTTTTTTTTTTTTTTTTGTAAGATTTTATTTATTGATTCGTGAGAGACACACAGAGAGAGAGAGAGGCAGAGACGCAGGCAGAGGGAGGAGCAGGCTCCATGCAGGGGCCCGACGCGGGACTCGATCCCGGGACCCCGGGTCACGCCCTGCACTGAAGGCGACGGTCAACCGGAGCCCCCCAGGATCCCTGGATTTTTTTTTTTTTCTCTCTAAAGCTGGTGGCAGCGGGGCCGGGCCGGGGCGGGGCGGGGCGGGGGGCGCGGGCGGTTAAGCGCTGTGCCCCGCTCGGGCTCAGGCCACGACCCCGGCCCGGGCGCTCCCCCCGGCGCTCCCCCCGGCGCTCCCCCGGGCGCCCTCCGGTTCCTGCCCTGCTCGCGCACGCTCTAAAACACGCGATCTCAAGCTCAGGGCACAGTGCAGGAGACACAGCAAACTCACCGGCGTGGAAGAATGGATCAGGCGGGACGCGTGGGGTCCGGGGCCGAGCCCGCCTCGGGCTCCCTGCAGGAGGGGGCCTGCCTCTCCCTCTGCCTGCGTCGTCTCTGCCATTCCGTGTCTCAGGAATAAATAAAATCTTAAAAAAAAAAAAAAAAAATGAATGCATTGGGCGACCAAGCGGTTTAGCTCCATTTCCAACGGTAGGGGTCACCCTCCGCCCGGTCCCGAGTCGCCTTTGCAGGACTCCGGTGTCTGCGCCCAAGAATAGGAGAAGAGGCAGACAGGTCCCGATTACCTTGCAGTGGAACAGCACAGCCCCCGGAGATGCACCCCACACCCACAGGAGGGGGCAGGGGTCATAGGATCAGGTCAAGGTACAAAACATGGTCTAGCAGAAGATATTGTTTAGGGGCCCCTGGGGACTCCGTGGTTGGGCGCCGGCCTTCGGCCCAGGGCGTGACCGGGGTCCTGGGATCGAGCCCCACGTTGGGCTCCCTGCAGGGAGCCTGCTTCTCCCTCTGCCTGGGTCTCTGCCTGTTTCTCATGAATAACTAAAATCTTAAAAAACGAAAAAGAATATTCCCAGCTTAACTTTCTGAATCCTTATTTGCATCTCTTCACTGTGTTTTCAAAAGAAGAAACGAGAAAATGGCTCCATACTATAAATTACAGTTTGGTACTACCGAACCGAACCCTAGGTTGGGATTATCAACTCTTTGAGCTGGAATCCAGATACCCTGGAGCCAGCCAGTCCTCGAGTCCAGCTTCCTCTATTCTCCCATCTGTACAGCAAGCACACATCTAACCACAAAAAAAGAGCTCTCAGCGGAATTCCCCACAATCACTGCCTGATAAATACATGTTGAAACTGCCAAAAAAGTTAGGCAAATGCACTTTTTTAAAAAGCAGAATTATCCCTTTTATTACAAAACTTAGTGATTTAATTACTTCTGTACTTTTCCTTATAAGAATAAGATATATATAAAAAAAATCACTACTGATGTGCAAAATCAGAAACCAGATAATCAGACAAAAAAATCACATTTATTTCAATTGTTCAAAGTGCAAATACAGCAAGTCAGTTCACAATGTTTCAAGATACAGTTTTAAGTATAATGAAAACTTGATATACAAAAATGAAAGGGTAAATAGCAGAAATAAAGCTAATTTTTTTTTTAAAAAAAATTCAAGTAACCCGAAAACCTTTAGACTAAAATATCCCATTTATGACAATTCGGAAACGCCTCGATTTATAGATACCAGTAGCACATTGCCATCCGAAAGGGCTTCTCAAAGGAGGAGAATCACCCCAAACCAGTCAGCTCAGGACCAGAGTGGAAGTTCTTGGGGCGGGCTATTCCGGATTTGGCCACCTCACTCTCACTGTCGATCCATACGGTTCGACCCATGATACTTGGGATGTTTAGGCAAATCCTAGAAAATGTTTAAAGTTCAATATGAGGCCAACACCCTGCTAAGAGATACTGAAATGGCCACTATATATTTACAAGATTTTAAAGACCCATCTTAGCTTCAGGCCTCTGGTGTTACCGGGGAAAGACAGACTGATACTTCTTCCATTACTTAGAACCTTTCTGTAAGGTTACAACACGGCCTTAACAACCTCCTCACGAAAATCATACTTCGTTATAGATTTACTTATTTCTACACATACAGAACTTTTATGTAAAGTAGAAAAAGTTCCCGCTAGGAAGATAATTAAAGGTTGTTAATGTTCTTTGTATCACTTAGCAGCCAAGACACAGGTTTATTTCTGCTCCGCAGAAGCAAGGTTATTAGCTATTTGCTCCAATTCAGGGAGGTGTGTGCTTTCAGGATGGTGGAGAGGAGATATTTATTGCATCTTTTTCTCAATCTTCTTCATCTTTTCATTATAGGCAGTAAATTGAGAGTCTGTTCCAAAAATTCTATCCCACCATGTAAATGTGGAAGCATAGTTTCCGATGAAGTTCATGTGGTGGAAATCATGATGCCGAGAACCAGCATAGAAAGGGATCAGATTCAAAGGGTTCAGGGGAATGTCATAGCCACTGAAATGAAAATGAGGAAGATTGTTAAGGAAATGAACAGACTTCAAACAACTGACGATTCCATTGGTAGCAACATGCCTGTTAACCAATTCAAGTAACATTCCACTTTACCTAAGTCCCTTTATTTCTGACGTATTTACATAAGCCAAAAAACACACACAAGAATGGTACATATTCTAGAAACCGTTTTAAGAGATTAAAATAAAAACCTTGAAAAATCTATAGAACTTAATTATTATACAACTGGGGATGAAACAGAGGGTGTTTACAGTAATCAATCTTTAGACACAGAATTTCAAGAATTATTTTTCTTTTCGTTTTAGAGGAGCTTTCTCACCACAGTTCGGAATGCCCGTAACAGTATGCCCATGATGTCCTTTGGGAAAGGTTGAACGAAACGAGTATCAAGCACCAAGAAGGTTGAATCTGCGAATCACTAAGTAGCAACTCTTTTTAGAGGATCTTCCCTTATTTCCAATATCAAATCTAGAAGCTGACAGCCATAACTGTACAGCTCTGAATCACCCGCCCTCTTCTTTCCTCAGGAGCTGAAGGGACCAGCGGAAGGACATGAGGGAAGTAGACAGCTTTTACAACTTACCTGCAGAAGAATATCCCCTGCCTAGGACTGCAGGTGTTAATTTTGCTACCTTTGTGATTTAAAAATAATTCTTAGAATTTGATATTCTGCTTTCACAGGTAATGCAATGAAGTCCCAAGTCGAAATGCAATGAATATATAATAATCATGAAACAGTGAGAAATTAGGGTATTAGGCATTTTAAAAGGCAGCAAAAAGAAATAATTTACCACGAAATAGCTTCCCACCAACAAGAAGGAAGCACGTGAAACATGCACATGTTACAAGCAGTGTTTTCATCTCTGTTGGGAAGGAACCAGGAATACTCAGTGAGGGCTGTGTTTCAGTATCATTCTCAAGTAAGAGTTAGGTTTGGGTTCATTAAAAAAAAAAAAAAAAAAGTGTTGTGTTGGTCCTGAATTATGGTATTTAACTACATTTTTAAGAAAAACCACAAAAATATTTCCATTTGAACAATGTTTCAGGAAGGCCTAAGTGAGACATGAAACCCAAAACCCAGAAAGAGAATACCTGACAGTTCTTTTTTTTTTTTTTTTTTTTTTTTGCCCGACAGATTTTGCCACATGGAAATTAAAAACTCGAGTACTACAAAGGACCACCGAGAGTTAAAATGCCAATGACAGATGGGGAGAAAATGTTTAAACAAATGTAATAAACAAAGGCAACATGAACCAAAAGGTTATGAGACATATAACCTAACAGAAAAATGGGCAAAGGATATAAGAGAGTCATTCAAAGAAGACAAAAATATGTTGGTCAATGAGCACACACAGATGCTCAGCCTCATGAGTCCCTGGAGAAATGCTGATCACAACACTGAAAACTCTTTTGCTCTCTTACAAAGATTATGATACTGACAAAATTATTCTGTCCTATTAGTCTGCTTAGAAATAAAGATCGTCTTATGACCATGGAAACAAAGATATTTTATACTTTGATATACCTGATAGAGACCATAACTCACCTATGGACATCAATAGTTTCTATCAAACGAATGGTCACCCATGCCCAAAGGAGAATGACATGATCACATAAAAGCATGATTCCAATGAAAAACCCAGTTCCAAGAATCAGAGTTTCCAAAGGATGTGCATATTCAGCTTCCATTCCAAATGGAGCCTAAAATAGATACAAATTCCTTAATATATTATGACTGTTAACTTTACGCGTCAGCTTGGCTAGGCTATTTTGCTAGATGCCCAACTGTTTGGTTGGTCAGACGTCAGTCTGGACACTGCTGTGAAGGTATTTTGTAAATGTGACCAATATTTAAATCAGTGGACTTTGAGTCAAGGAGATGACCCTCCATAATGCAAGTGGGCTTTATCCAACCAGCTGAAGGCCTTAAAAGCCAAGACCGAGGTTTCCTGAGGAAGAAAGAATTCTCTCCAGTGCAGTATAGAAACCCTGCTCGAATGTCCAGCCTGTGGTCCGCCCTATGCGTTTCAGACTTGCCAGGCCCCACACGCACATAAGCCAGTTCCTTAAAATAATCTGTGTATCTCCTATTAATTTTGCTTGGAGAACCATAATAAATACATATATTCTAACTTATTTATGCATATAGTTTTATAAATCTGCCACGTACCAGCAGGATAATGGTCTGGCCCCAAAGATGAGAGGCAGAACTATTTCATATAGCACTTTTCTTCAAGATTTATAGAACTGGCTATATGTGTACATGTGTGTGTGTGTTATGTTAACACGTTCATGCCAGAAAGACATACAAACATCACTGACCATTTTTTTTTACGACCTCAGATTTTTAAAAAGCATTTAGCCTCTAATAGAAAAAAAGTATTAAAAATAATTCTAACATACCTGAAACTCATGATGAACTTTATGGATATATTTATAGATTCTTTTGTGATGCAAGAGCCTATGCAGGAAATAGTGCCAGGTGTCCTCAATCACCGCACAGCCAAAGCATCTTGCCAAAAGCATATACCTTTAAGATGACAATACTGTAATGAGTATAAAGTAATGTTTACTTAAACAATCTGAACTTTTACTTGGGATCACTGCTTGAGGAATTACATGAAACCAAATACCCACTAACCAGCTTGACCTAACTGGATACACTGATCACTAAACTCAAAATTGCTACGTACAAGGTGGCTATATAATACCACCTCAAGAAGGGTTAGAGATTGACCACTATTCCAATCCTAATTTGTTTTTAAAAAACTCACATGTATGGGGCACCTGGATTGCTCAGTAGGTGGACATGCAACTCTTTACCTCAGGGTCATGAGTTTGAGCCCCATGTTGGGAGTGGAGCCAACTCAGAAAAAAACAAAACTGAAAAAAATTTCACATGTTTAAAATCGAAGTTAAGAAACAAAATCCAAAACTTCTAGGAAAAGAGTAATTTGATGAAAGACTTGAGCAGAGATTATCAATAGTAAAATCATCACTTTTTTCCACGAGAGAGAGGGACAGAGGTGCAATGGGCAAGATATATTTTATATACAAATGAACACATACACAAAAACTCTTATATTACATATATTACAAAGAATAAGCATAAACCTATATGTTGGTCTAGCTATATTTGGGTTATGTCAGGAGCAGACAGCTGAATACTACTAGTGCTCACGTAATCTACACTTCTGTCTATACGGACACAATTCTTATAAACCTCATCATTACTCTCTTCTTTTTACTCATTTAGACTTAAAATGTAATACAGTTTTGATAGAAGTGTGCTTATCTGTATAAAACCGTATAAAGGATGCTAATGAAACTTCTGATGTAAGAAATCACTTCTAATAAAATATTACATTAAAACATAGAAAGAATGGGCAGCCCGGGTGGCTCAGTGGCTGAGCATCTGCCTTCATTTAGCCCAGGGTGTGATCCTGGGGTCCCGGGATCGAGTCCCACGTCGGGGTCCCTGCATGGAGCCTGCTCCTCCCTCTGCCTGTGTCTCTGCCTCTCTCTCAGTGTCTCTCATGAAAAAATAAATAAATCTTTTTTTTTTTAAATATATATATAGAAAGAAAAATGGGAACATTTTTTAAGTTTCTGCTCTAGTTGACGTTCCTACATTTTATTTACTTTTAAAGTTTAGAACAAACAAATGAAGAAGGAAGATAAACATGACGGATATTTCAACTAGATCATAAACCAAAACTGGGTATCAAAATCAAATGTTTATCTACATACCATCTTGGCATTCTTTCCCAATCATAAGGTATATTAAAATACTCTGTAAAATAATAAGTTCCACAGATCAAAGGAAGCTGGATACAAAAGTGATTAAAGAGAAGTACTTTAAAACATTTCCATTGGTTTTCCCAGGTTTCTGGTTTATCCTATGGAGAAAAAAAAAAAAATCACAATATTTATTATTAGCCTCTGCTATCAAGTGTTTGACTTGAATCTTAGAGTAAATTCCTGACTGTTTCTGTAATGTTTCTAAGTGACCTTAATTTTATGTTATTTAGTTAATCTTATGATGTGAATTCCGTATTATGGTTACTATGTTGCAGTAGTAACTGAGGCCCACGAATGACAGCCTCCTCCCCTTCTAGACTCTTGACAACTATGATCACTAGTCTGAATAGGAGAAGAAACTGATAATGCACAAACCCAGGTGTAATGGTCGCAAACAAACCAAAGAAACACTAAAGAGTAACTGTCCAGTCCGTGCTGCCCACGGATGATTCTCTTCTGTCACCCAGGAATTTCAGAGAGGAAAAGTGGCACAGCACGAGGACAGGGGAGTTCTCCCGACTGCCGCAGCAGCCGTCCACGTAGCACCGGAAGGCTTGGTCACACAGGGAAATCGGTGCTGCCAGCCGCTCTGCGGTGCTCATTCCCAGAAACAAGCATATTTTGGTTCACATACGATAGCAGAATTACAAACTCTCTGAGCTGCAAGAACTTCAGAAATGTGTCCAGTGTTTCCCCAAAAATGAAGAGCTACTGCCCACAGATAACGACATTCAGAGATGAAAGTCAGAACAAGAAAAGTAAGATCAATGTAGTAAACGTGCAAAAAACCCTCAACGGGGTATCAACTTGCATAGCAAGCCATATAAAAACAACTCAATTTATTCAATTTTCAAGGGCTGCAAAAAAAATAATAATAATAATAAAATAAAAGGCTGCAGTTAGGGACGAGTTGAGTTGGTTAAGTGTCCACCTTCAGCTCAGATCATGATCCCGGGGTCCTGGGATCCAGCCCCACAAGGCGATCCCCACCAGGCTCCCTGCTCAGTCTGCTTCTCCCTCTCCCTCTGCTCTTCCCCCTTCTCACGTGTGCATGCATGCTTGCTCGCGCTCAAACAAAATCTTTAAAAGGCTGCAATTTGATAAGAAAAAGTACTTTTGGTTTTACAAACAGATGGTGATAATAAATAATAGTTATTGCTTTGTTTTAAATGACCTTACTTAAACATTCAGACAACTACTGGTGAAACTCTTAACTAGACCACAGTATCCCAAAGTATGGAAACTACTGCTCATCAGCAGAAGCCCACAGAGGTCGACTACCTTGTCCAGATCACAAATAGGTAGTTATTAGAACCAGGACTAACTCAAATCTAGGTCTCCTAGACTAACTTAAGTCTAGGACTTTAAACTTTTCTTTTTTGTTGTCCCCCCCCCCCAAAAAAAAGGAAAAAGCATTCAATTGATAACCAATCTAGAGCATAAGTAAGTCTCCAATCACAGGGCCTTCACTTACTAGTTTTCTAGCTCTGTGATACTCACAACTCAGTCTCCTCAACAGTAAAAGAGGGAATTAGGCAAGATAATTTGTCGTTGGCTATCTCTTCTCTGAGATTACCTGACCTCACTACTCAAACCTCCAGTCTGTGACTGAGGATAAAATAGTCTAGCTTGGGCAATTTCTGCCTAGAAACTGTGCTTAGCAGACCTAATATCATAGCTTGATTCTGATAACCATTTAGCTGTAGAAATTAACACAGAAATCAATCAATTCTAACTACAAAACCACATATTTCACTGTTTAAAGTCTACACAAATTAGTTTAGAAGACAGTGAACAATGAAACACTCATACTGATTTACCATCACAATTCATGTTCCTAACAAAAAAGCTCAAAGCAGGGATTTTAAGGGTCGTGAAACTCAAAGACGACAAGGCAATGTGAAACCACACTACCCAGGCTTTCTATTTCTGTTGATAGACAACTACCTGCGACCAACTAGACAACTACGTGTACTGTCTTTTGCCAAAGCTGAAAGTCATGCATAAAAACCCTGACTTAAAAAGGTCTTCCTGGCTCTGTAAAAGTTACCACCTCTGACCGGCGAGAGAACGGCAGAGGGCGGGAGGTCAAAGACACTCAGGCCTGGCCAGACACACCACGAATCAGCTCTATAAGCAAATGCAGGGGCGACACACTGGAGCCAGAATCGCCCCAACACACGTGAGAACTCAGACATCCAAACTGAACTCTGCCTTTAAAAGCAGGCCCCGTTACACAAAGCATTTCGAAACTTCTGTCCTTAATTTAGGGCGACAGGATACTCCTCTTTGGACATGTCCCTTTTTATTTCCTCCCCCCTTTGGCTTAGAGTCGAGTGGCCTGACCCCTGCACTATCCCCAGAGAGAATCCATGAGAGCACGTGAGTCAGCACCCAATGTGAGATTCCCTGGGAGAGGCAACGGGCCAACAGACGGACGGGAGAGGACATGCACGAGGCCAACCGCCCGATGAATGCCCTCCAAGTGTCCACTTTCTACCAAGACCATGCACCTCTGAGTCTGAGTTTGGCGTGACTTTTGTGAAGAGTAAACAGCAACTATTAGACACTACTATAGCACCTTAGAGTTTGCCAAGCGCTGATAAATCGTCTCCAGTAAGCTAGTCCAGATTCCGGTCTAGGCACCCCGTCGAGCTCCAGTCTACACACGGGCAGAGCTCACCACTTGCCCCGTGCCTAAGATGAGAAGAGGCACTGTGTCTATCTCAACACGTTGTCACGCACAGAGGCAATCTTAGGGAATTTAGTGCACCGAAGCAAATACCTAGAAGCTCAGAGCATCAGGGCTTCCTCACTTGGGATAACATGAATCCTGCAGGACCCCCAGCATATATTTAAGTAATATATACTTTCAATAGCCCTGATCAAGATCTTATAATATTAAACATACACTTAAGTGGCTGAGACATCAGGGGTTGGAATGAGTTGCCAATTACCTACAAATCTCTAGCTTCTCTTTCCCGCTGGTTTAAAGATTGAAACTTATAAACCTCTATTAGATAAATGTTGCATCTACTGAAAGCGAAATTAAATTATTCTTGAAATATTATCAATGATCTAGGGCTGTACTGTCCAATGTGGCAGGAACTAGAAATATGTGGCTACTGAACACTTTAAATATGGCTAGTCTAAATTGAGATGGGCTAAAATTAATGTAAAATACACACTCGATTTCTTCCCCCCCCCCCCCCACTGGCTGCTTAGAGTTACACCCGATTTCAGAGACATTGTGAGATATGAACATTAAGTATTTCATTAGGTACTTCTAAATTCTGATTACTTGTTGAAATGATAATAGTTTTGATTTATTGTGTTAAATAAAACATAATATTAAAATTAATTTCCCTATTTCTTTATATCTTTTTATGTATTTTATAAGAAAATGATCCTTCTTTGTATTTCTACTGAACAGCCCTAATGTAGGTTCTCTCAAAACGAAGTTATATTTACTTTTAAAATATTCAAGATGAATGATAACATTCCACTCCAAGTCCATCACACTCACCTTTTGAATTTTGTACCTTTTCATGAAAGGTATAAATTGAAACAAAAATCCAGGTAAACAGAACAAGAAATAAAGAACTTCGTGAACTATCAAGGATCCCCATGTTGCAATCTGGAACTTTGTATAATTATTCAACATATAGTTCCAAGCATTTTTAAATGGTTCTTGTAGAGGGTTCTCAGGTAAAAGTGAATCTACATACTCCACAGCCAAGGATGCTGAACTAAAGATGCTGATACTTTCATTTGTTGCCATTTTTCAAATCTCTGCAGAAAGCCTTAGAATTCTGTAAAAGCAAATAAATAAATAAATAAACAAATAAATAAATAAGTAAGCAAGCCAGCCAAACAATAAAATCCGAAGAAAATAATTTTTTAAAAATTCATCTTCTGATAATTTTTAAAACAACTAATACTAAAGTACCAATTCTCAGGTCCTAAACGTGTGATTTAAAAAAAAAAAAGTCTACGGGAGGTGATGTCATCACCATGGTTATGTGTAGGCACTGACTGAAAAGCTGCATGCTGGGGCACCTGTGTGGGTCAGTGAGTTAAACACCAGCCTCTTGGTTTTGGCTCAAGTCAGGAGATCCAACCTGGCCTCTGCCCTCTACCCGCAGGGCAAAGTCTGTTTGAGATTCTTTCCCCATCCCTCTCCTGCACTCTCCCCTCCACTACTCCCCCTCATTTCAAGGGCATGTAGGCTCCTGAGTGTGCGTGCTCTCTCTCACACCCGAGCTCTCTCTCTATATATATATATATAAATAAATATCTCTACAAAATAAAAGCCACGTTAACTTTCAAGAGAGGGATCTAAAGAACAGTAAACAAAGAATTTCAGACTATCTTTAAAGAGACTTCTCAATGTGGGCTACATGGGAAAACTTGTAATTTAAATTAGTAATAGAGGAGTTCCAGTGTCACTCAAAACCAAAAAAAAAAAAAAAAAAAAAAAAAACCTATAAAAGTTTGCCAAATAAGACTACACACACAAAAAAATACTTCTGATTGGGGAACAGACAATTATAAATAAAGTCAAAGATCAAATGACAAACTGGAAAAAATATTTCCAACACGTAAGACAAAAGGCTGCAAAGTATGCTTTGGGAAAAGACTAAAAATCCAACAGAAAAATGACAAAGACCATTCCCAAGGGGTTCATGGAAAAATAAATATAATACAAATGTTCACTAGAAAAATAAGCAGCTCAGTTCGACTCAAATAAAGAAATACACCCCGAAACAAAAATCTTTAAAAGTTTCAGTGTTTGGGACCTAGAATTGCTAAGGGCAACAATTTGGAGAAACAGGCATCATTATACACTGTTGATGGAGGGATTAGCAGGCCTTTGTAGAAAAATTCACAATATGTGCCACAATTCAAAATAAATATACCCTTTGACCCAGCAATTTTCTCACTCAGGCACCCTGAGACTGAAGGAAACATTGCTTAGCATATGCTAAGCATATTTTGCATAGCAGCAAAAAACAAGGAGAAAACAACAGACCGAAGTCCACCAACAAGAAAGGAGTTAAGTAAACCCTAAGTCCTTCCATAGACGATTACACAGACACTTAAAAGAACAGGAAACTGGGACGCCTGGGTGGCTCCGTGGTTGAGCGTCTGCCTTTGGCCCAGGGCATGATCCTGGTGACCCTGGATCGAGTCCCACATCGGGCTCCCTGCATGGAGCCTGCTTCTCCCTCTGCCTCTCTCTCTCTCTGTGTGTGTCTCTCATGAATAAATAAATAAAATCTTAAAAAAAAAAAAAAAAAAAAGAAGAAGAAGAACAGGAAACTGTATATACTCTGGGGCAGAAAGACGTCCAAGACAAGATGTTAAACCAAAGAGCAAGCTGCACAATAATACACATAACAAGGTGCCCCCTCTCGTATTTTTGTGAAAAGGTCGTACATTTGTGCACTTTCATGCCTACGGACAGACAGACACACACACACAGAGGACATGTATGTAAGGAACACTTTAGAGTGATGACCTTTAGGGAAAAGAGATTAAGGGGAAGAAGATGCGTGCATTGCATATGTGAGCATCCAGTGTGTGTGTGTGGGGGGGGGGTCATGGAGGAGAGGAGAAAATCTGTACTTTCCATTTTATACCTTCTTACAATTATAATTTTGTCATGAGTATGCTTTACCTATATAATAAATAAGCATGACAGGTCACCAGATCAGAAAAGTTTATAAACAATGTCACTTTCCTAAAAATGTTCACTGTTGTTCCTAATTTACAAATTATGATGGACTACTTTGAAAACAAAATTATTTTAAGGCTCAGAAGCACTCTTAATAGCGCTTAAGATGGCCCACTTCCCATACCGACCTCTTACCCGTTCCTCACGGAGGATAGCGGGAAGCTGCCTTCCTCGGGTCTCTGACTTCAGTTCACATCCTTATTTTAGGTCCTACGCGTCCTCCACGGACTTCTACTAGGGAGGCCACATTACAGGCGGTGCCGTCCCAACGTCAGCATTTCCCACTCACGCTCCCGGACACGGACTAGTCTTCTGTTCTTATCCTACCTGAGAACTTGCCCATCACTTACCCTTTCTCATCTTTCGTCTTTCCCTCTACTGAAGTCCATCCCCTCAAGTTTAAAAACATCCTCAAGTCTTCATTTCTAGTGAAAACTTTTCCTAACCTGTGTCCCTTCTTCCCCAAGCCCCTGTCCCTCTTCTTTTCCTTTGAACCAACTCCTCTCTCTAGGGAGAAATCAACAAAGAGCCTCCCTTGTCTTGCTCTCACCCTCACAACTCACTCAACGACTTGCAATCGAGGTCCCATCCACACCAAGGTATCTTCAATCTCCTAACTTGCAAGGTAAAAGTCATTCTAATCCTCATTTTTCATGAGCTCACTGCTGAACCAACCCCTAACTAGCTGTGTGACCTGCAGCAAGTTATACAACCTCTCAGAGCCTGTTGTATCATCTGCAAAACGTACAGGAAAACAATAGTAAGTAATAGACGGTGGGGAATCGTTTCATCATGTATACATATATTAAACCACCACAATGTACACTTCAAATATCTTACAGTTTTACCTGCTGCATGCTCTCTCTACATTAACCACTTTAATCCTTACCGCACCTTCATGAGGTAGGTAATTTTATTATCTCTATTTTACGAATGAAAAACTGAGGTTTAGAAAGAATAAACAACTTTCCTAACCCCACTTACAAAAACACTAAATGGAGGAGCCTGTGTGCTCACCCCTTATGCTCTACTGTAATCCAGAAATAATAAAGTAACACAATAAATATTACAGTAAGAAAGGAGTAATTCCTACAGCTTTCCCAAGGCTCCCGAAAGGTATTCTATTCAGGCCGTCTTCATTTTCACATTTCCCATTTACTCTCCAGCTGTTACAACCTGCTTCCTCTTTTTGTCACTGCAGTGAATTTGTTCTACTACACGATCACCGAGGATCTCCTAGCTGCCAAACCCAACACTCTTTAGGGTTGATCTGACCACTTTGAAGCCTAAAATACTCTCCTCCCTTGGTTCTTGGGATTCACATGTACTCACTATGTGCAGCTCCTGTGCCAGCTGCCGCCCTCACCCCTGACTGCAAGACATGAACTCTGATGAGGAACATACAGCAATAACTAGGCTATCACAAAGTTGGGTGATAAGAACAGTAACAGGCTGGAAATCGAGAGTGCCCGAACAGAGGGCCAGGGAAGTCCTTGGAGAAAGATGCCATCTCCGGATGCCTCGGTGGCTGGGTGGCTCGGCGGTTGAGCATCTGCCTTCAGCTCAGGGCGTGACCCTGGGGTCCCGGGATCGAGTCCCCCATCCGGCTTTCTGCAGGGAGTTTGCCTCTCCCCCTGCCTGTGTCTCTGTCTCTCACGAACAAATAAATAAGATCTTTAAACACACACACATAAAAAGAAAGATGCCATCTAAGCGGAGACCTGGAGCGTAAGGGGGATCTGATGAAAGGCCTACAATGGGGGGCGGGGGGAGGAACAGGGAGTGTTGTGAGTGGAGGGCCCATCAGACGCAAAGACTCCAGCAGGAGAGGAGAACGAAGACAGCACCGGCTGATGAGTAGGTCCGTGCTACTGCTTTTGAGGAAGGACGGCCTGGCAATGGAGGCCGGATCCCCAGTGCCTGCCTTTCTTCTGTCCCGGAGGGCCCAGGGACCGGCCCGCTTCCTGTTTTAAGGTGGGCTGCCCCCCCCATCCCCTCCCAGGCTCAGGCTCTGACGGGCTGGGGCTCCACCCGCAACCTCGTCGGCCAGGCTCCTCCGCGCCCGCAGAGCCCTGCACCTGCCCCGCAGCGCTCCGACTCTACCTTCTGTGACCTCTAACCTGCCCAACTGCACCATCCCCTGCTGAGTGAACATCACCTTGCAGGGCGATGTTCCGGGTCGGCCCTGTCCCTGCCGCCCCCCTTCAGCCTTCACGCCTGCACCCGCTTGCAGACGCTGGGCTTCATGGGCCTCCCTGCCGGAGCCCGCCCGCCCGCCCGCCCGCCCCACACGGGGAGGGGAGGCGGCCCCCTCCGCCGCACGAACCGGAGCCACACGCAGGCCTCGCGGGGCGGAGGGACCCCTCCCTTCCCTTCTCCCAGGCTCGCGCGAGGCCCGGCGCCTGCTCCCTCCTCCCGCGGAGCCCGGGGTGCACGGGGCCCCTCCTCCTCCTCCGGGCCTGCCCAGCGGCTCAGCCTGCCCCCGGGACCGGGGCGACCACAGGAGGCACTAGGCAGGGCAGCCAGGCCGCGTCCTGCAGCACGTCCCCAGGGGGCGCCGCCCGGGACCGGGGCCCGGCCTCGGGATGCGCGGGGATGCGCGGGGATGCGCGGGGATGCGCGGGGATGCGCGGGGGTGCGCCGGGATGCGCGGGGGTGCGCCGGGCCGCCTCCGCCCCCCGAGCCCCCACTGCCCGCGGCCCGAGCGCACGTCCCAGGCCACCGCCCGGCCCTCCCCGGCCGCCGCGCCGCCCGCCCCAACTCCTATTCACCCCGCAGGGGCCTCGCCCCAGACGCCCTCCGCACGCCCGCCGCCGGCCCCGAGACCCCGACGCTCCCGCAGGCCAAGCCGCGCGCCCCAGCGCCGCCCCCCGCCCGGCGAGCTCGGGCGCCCCGGCCCGCAGCCTCCGTCCCGGGCCCTCACCTGGCCGAGCGGCGGGAACGCGAGCCGCGGGCTTCGGCCGCCGCCAGGTGCCTCTGCGCGCCGGGGGCGGGGCCAGGAGCGTGAGGCCGGCGTCTGCGGCCGCCATTGGCTGCCCAGGGCTCCCGCCCCGCCCCCCCGGCGCTGCGATTGGTCCCCGCGCTCGCCGGCCTGGCGTGACCCGCGTGAGCGCAGCCCCGGCGGCCGCAGCCATTGGCTGGGCGGATGGAGTGAGGATAGTGAGACCGCGGCGCGCAGCCGGGGCCGGGCCCGGGGGCGGGGCGGGGCGGGGCGTTGCCCGGGCAACCGCGCGCCGCCGTACTTCCGGCCGGGCCGGTGCAGCCCCGGGAGCCTCCCGGCCGTGACCCCGCGCCCCTGGGCAGCAGCCGCGAGGCCACCTGGGAGACGTCGTGGGGATGCACTTTGCGCACCTCCGGGGCTCCGGGGCCTCGCCGCGACCCCGACGTCGTTCCCGGCTGCCCCGGGCGGGACCTCTGTGACCCCGATGCACCTGCAGCACCGGGATGCGCGCGCGGTGTATCCCCTGTCATCGGGGCTGGCATCCAGGGGGGGGACGGGGAGCACCGGGACACTGCCCCAGGGGCTGGCATGGGGGGGGCGGGGAGCACCGGGACACTGCCCCAGGGGCTGGCATGGGGGGGGACGGGGAGCACCGGGACACTGCCCCAGGGGCTGGCATGGGGGGGGCGGGGAGCACCGGGACACTGCCCCAGGGGCTGGCATGGGGGGGGACGGGGAGCACCGGGACACTGCCCCAGGGGCTGGCATGGGGGGGGCGGGGAGCACCGGGACACTGCCCCAGGGGCTGGCATGGGGGGGGCGGGGAGCACCGGGACACTGCCCCAGGGGCTGGCATGGGGGGGGACGGGGAGCACCGGGACACTGCCCCAGGGGCTGGCATGGGGGGGGCGGGGAGCACCGGGACACTGCCCCAGGGGCTGGCATGGGGGGGGGAGCGGGGAGCACCGGGACACAGCCCCAGGGGCTGGGATGGGGGGGGACGGGGAGCACCGGGACACTGCCCCAGGGGCTGGCATGGGGGGGGCGGGACGGGGAGCACCGGGACACTGCCCCAGGGGCTGGCATGGGGGGGGACGGGGAGCACCAGGACACTGCCCCAGGGGCTGGCATCCCGGCGGGGGGGACGGGGAGCACCGGGACACTGCCCCAGGGGCTGGGATGGGGGAGCGGGGAGCGCCAGAAGGTCCGGAGTGCGGGTGACCCCGAGGACGTGACACAGAACCTGCCCACGGCCCTGCCCTCACCTGAGTCCTTGTCCACCTCCGACACTTGCTGCCGGGGAACAGCAGTAACCTGGTGTCCAGGCGGTGCATGTAGGAACTCGAGGTCAGAGCGCTCCCTACAGGTTTGCAGAAGGGCGCTCCGGGTGGCCGAGGGCCCTTCCTAGTCAGTAGTTTCAGGTAGCGGAGGGAGGTGTCGTTCCTGTCAGGGCTCTGCTCAGCCTGGCCTTGTCCCTGAAGCGCTGGCCACCTGCTGCGCCACCCATCACCGTCCGCTCGGGGACCCTCTGCTTGAGCACGTCCCCCCGAGAGGTGTCATCAGGCTCCACGGCCTCTGCTCCTGTCTAAGGTCCCACGTCCAACAACGGCCTCTCCGTAAAGTACCGGGACAGGCCACGTCCAATGACAAGCAACGGGCGTGCCCCCAGGGCGGTCTGGGCCCTGTGGTTGGGGCGCCGAGCGCTCCCGTCGGGCCCATCCTCAGGCCTGAGGCAGGTGCAGGCAACGAGAGCCCCTTGGGCCTGGGCACCCTCCGGGGTCGACCACGAGCAGGGCTGCAAAGGTCCGCCCCGCAGCCTCCTTTGGGACCACTTGGCCAGCCCACCCCAGGGCCCCCTCTCCCTGGCCCAGGCGGTGGGTGGGACTGCAGCCCACTTTTCTGGCTGCCCCAACCCGCTGTGCCAGACACGCATCATGGGGTCACACTCACTAGGCCTCGGTTAGCTGCGCGTCGCCACCTCTGTCTTGTCGGGCGCCTATTTGCTGGGATCCTAAATCCTAGGGTGCGCCTGTTTGCTGGGATCCCAAGTGCTAGGGCACACCTGTTTGCTGGGATCCTAAGTCCTAAGGTGCACCTATTTGCTGGGATCCCAAGTGCTAGGGCGCACGTAAGGCCACCTGCACATTGTCTGCGGTGCGGGAAGGGCTCGGTCCAGGTCGCTGAGCAGTCCAGACCTCGAGCCCTACCACAGTGGGCCTGTTTCCGGGGTGAGAGCAGGTAGGTGTAGGTGTATTGGGGAGGGGGCGGCGAATGACTATTTAAATCCTGGACACGTAGGGCTGAAAGGAAACACAGGTAGGACAGCTGGACGCCCTTTCCCGCCGCGAGGTTCAGGGAACAGTAACGGAGGTAACTTATCCAAGGCCTTCTGCGTTCCAGGCATATTCACAGACCTCGTTTCTCTCATATCCCAGAATTACCTTGTGACACAGACGCTAGCGTCACCACTTTAGAGCCGACAAAATAAGGGTCGGAGGTCAGGCGACACGTTTAAAGTCCCAGCTGGCAGCTAATCGAGGGGGATGCAAATCCAGAGCCTCTAGCTCTTGCGCCCTTGGATTTTCCAGGACACACACTGCTGGTTTTCCTTTAGAGTCACAAAGCCAGGGTGGGGACCCGAGTCTCGATTCGAGGTGTGATCCCACTGCCCCGAGTCACCTCATCTCCGACATGAGGCATTGGCAGCCATACAAGGGTGTAGGAGGCAACTGGCTCCAGAGCAAACTGCAACCAGAGGCGTGTTTAGCCCATCTCGGCGTGGGGTGCGCCACCCGCGGATCCCGTGGAGTCCCGCAAGTCCTCAGCAGCCGGATGACCACGTAGGTCCTCAGGGGATAAGGGATCATAATAAAAACCAGCAGCCATGTGGCAGAGTCCACGAGAAGAGGAAGAGGAGCCAAAGTCCCCCGGCCGCACACACATCGTCCCCCTTCGCAGCAGCGGCGCTTTGGGCCGACTCGGCCCAGGTCCAAGCAAGGCAGGCAGCGGTCACTTCACAAGGCAGGACGCAGCCTGGCCTCGAACCCTGCTCACACCCGGTGCCGTGTCCCTGGGAGGGTCTCTAAAACCCCCTGCGTCTCAACTCCCAGTCTTTCTCGTACAATAGAAGGTGCCAGGAATGCCTTCCCATGCCTTTTTTAAAAGGCAGATGTTCCAAACTGGAAAGACAGAGGGGCAAGGGGAAGCAGGGAGACCCAAAGCCACGAAAGGGGGATCCCTGGGTGGCTCAGCGGTTAGCACCTGCCTTTGGCCCAGGGTGTGATCCTCGAGTCCCGGGATCGAGTCCCGCGTGGGGCTCCCAGCATGGAGCCTGCTTCTCCCTCCTCCTCTCTCTGTCTGTCTCTCTGTGTGTCTCTCATGAATAAATAAAATCTTTAAAAAAAAAAAAAAGCCACGAAAGACATAGTTCACAATCTACCTATTGGCAACCCCTGGTAAACTCCCTTACAGTACAGCTATTAAAGCTTCGAAGAAGTAAAGACAAAGACGACCTTGAGATGCTAAGTATCTAAGACTGTCACCTTAGTAGATTGCATTTCAAGAAAGGCTTAAAAATTCATTTTTTAGAGGTTTAGAGGTTATTTTTTTATTCACAGAGGTTTCATGGAGCATCAGTGCTTGGAAGTGAGCAGGAAAGATAACGGCACACGTTTTCCTTGGTGCCACAGCCACGTTCACTAGATCTTCACCAGGTGTGTTGACGATGGATGTGCCTGGAGCCACATTGATGCAGAAATTCATTTTTTCAGAAGGTAAGCAGAGGTTTCTTTTCTTTTTCTGATTAAATGCCTTATATTTCCATTTAAACTAAAAGTTCAGGTAAGTAGTAAATATGGTTTTATGTTTAAATTTCAGTAGTCTATATTAAACTAAATGGAAATTTTATCACAGGTATAAATCAATCTTGATTATGGACTGCTCTGGATAACCTTCTGTTCACGCCAACCTCTTAAATTCTTCTTCTGAGGCACAGTCAGCATATCCTTCACTCTTTGTCCTTCTCCCTCTCTCCCCTCTCTCCCCCCTCTGTACTCTCTCAGGGCTC